GGCTTCCCTTTTTACCCTACTGGAGAAGTTTTTGGATGTGCATAGGGATTTGAGTCTTAGAAGGTCCCATTCATCTATGTTATCTTCTCCTGGTTGTAGCATTAGCCTTATTTTAGAGATAAGTACTCTTAAGTAACTTGGCCATGACCACTCAAACGAAAAGTGAGGGAACCGATTTTGAAACTGTATTCCATCTATAGCCACATTTAACAAGGGTGAGACTCATGTTTGCTTTTCCTGAATGTTCTGCCCCGACTACTAGTATAATGCCAAGACTGGCACATTGAACAAAGGAGAAAATGTACCTTTTTTTGTCTATATGCAGCATTTCTTATTTTATGAACACATATCAAATAGATGTTATTTATAAACATATAAGTATACTTCTAAACAATATATTTTTTATCTATATCTAGTTTTATACCTAACAGCTTAAACTTGGGAAAGAAACACTATTAAGACAATAGCTAGCAGAGTCAAGTATAGTTGATGAATTTATTTACATATGGCCTGTGGTGACCAGCTTTCCTTTTCCGCACAAACTCCTGTGGTCTATTGCTCTTATCACCAGGTCTGTACGAGCTGTGAGGACAATGCCGAAGCAAATGGCTTTTGTGTGGAGTGCGTGGAGTGGCTCTGCAAGACCTGCATCAGAGCTCACCAGAGGGTCAAGTTCACGAAAGACCATACTGTCAGACAGAAAGAGGAGGTGTCTCCAGGTACTGTTGATGCTTGTTATTTTCTTCACTCATTGCTTCCACCTTCTTTGTGGTGATGCATTGATAAGCATTAAGAGACCTTTTATTCTTTTGTTTAAGTACAAGGAGATCTATACGACAGTTGAAGTCTGAGCTCTGACCAGGTTCTAAGCGGGAGTGGACACAGACACCTCGTCAGTTCCCCTCCCACTTCCTTCAGCCTCTTTGTGTGCAGCAAAGGAAACATTTCCTTTTTAAACATATTCTCTCTTTCTTCCTTTATGTTTATCAGATAGATAGATAACCAAAGAAGTTTTGATTTTTGGATAATTTGAGTTTCTGGGTTTTTAATGCATTGTTTTCCATGAAAAATTTGTTAACATTTGTTTGAAAAGGACTTTTTTAAGTTGTTGAGTTTGTAAGCCTCCTTTCAAGAGCCTCTGCTAGGTTAGGTGTGAAGCGGTGAGGAGGATCTGTCTGCCCTCCGTGATTCCACGTTGTCATGGAGACTGGAAGCACATAGCACAGCTTGACCTGATAAATTCTCCTAGAATACAAGATGGGAGTGTAAAACTCAGATCTGGGGCTTAGTTTGGAAGACAGATCTGTGACTTAAAGGATGAGTTTATGAAGGAAAGAGCCTGTTATATGGAAGAGAGAGATGAGGCAAGTGAAACACTTTCACAGATAGGCTGTAGGAGAAAGGTGATGTGGCTGGGGAACAGGTGCTGGAGGAGTGTGGGGCAAAGCTAGGACACTGATGGCGGAAAGACATTGAAGGACAAATGTTCAGGTGTGGATATAGCTAGATTTCACAGATGCATCTTAAAGAAACTTTTGTTACTCTGTGAAGTGAGATACTTCTTGGAAGTGAGAGCAGAGGAAAGTTATACAGTGGAAAGATATTCAAAGTCCTCCATTTCATACATAGGAAATGCTATTAAGTGTGAAAAATTCTAAGTTTTTAAAGAAATGCATTTGAGACAAAGTCTCTTTAAAATCCTGTCAGATTGTGAAGATTTAGATATCAAAACAACCATGAGATATCTCATTCCAATAACAATAGCAGAGTTCAGCAGGACAGCAGACAGCAAATGCTGACGAAGTTGTGGAGAGAGAGTATGGAACTTTCTTATTCATTGCTGGTCAGAATGTAAAATGGTACAGCCACTGTGGAAGACAGTCTGGTGCTTTCTTAGAAAGTTGGAAATAGAAATGCCATTTGACCCAGCAAGTCCTCTGCTGGGAATATACCCTAAAGAAACGAGAGCCACAGCTCAAACAGATGTATGCAAATCCGTTTATTGCTGCATTTTTCACAGTGATAGATGGAACAACCCAAGTGCCCATCAGTAAATGAGTGGATAAAAAAAAACTAAGGTACGTCCACACAGTGGAATGCAATGCAGCTGAAAAACGGTGAAATGGTAAAACGTTACACAACATGGGGAATCCTTGAGGACATTATGCTGAGTGAAATATCTCAGTCATAAAAGGATAAATACTGCATAACAGTGCTGTTATAAAATAGGGTAGACATGAGGGGCATCGGAGAGGGAATGGGAAGAGAGTGGATAGATAGTGAACACTGCATTAGAACAGATGAGGGGAAGAACTGTTTGAAAAGAATGTATGATTATTATGTATTGTATGTATGAGAATAATCTGGAACCAGGAATACATTGCAGTTGGGCTAGGGATGGAAGGGGTGGGAGAAAATGTGCAATAATGAAGAAATAAAATAAAAAATAGTGTAAAGACCAAGAAGCAGTCCTCAGAACAGAGCAAGGAAACACTACATGGTTCAAAATCAGAAAAGGAATGTGTCAGGGATGCATCCTGTCCTCATGCCTTTTCAATCTGTATATGGAACAGATCATTTGGGAAGCAGCTTTATGAGGAGGAATGTGGCATCAGGATTGGAGGAAGACTCATTAACAACCTGCGATATGCAGATGACAAAACCTTGCTTGCTGAAACTGAGGAGGACCTGAAGCACTTGTGGCAAAAGGTCAGGAACTATGTAATCTTCAATATAGATAGAAGCTCAACATCAAGAAGACAAAGATTCTCTCCACTAGGCCAGTTGGCTGCACCATATTAGATGGAGAAATGATTGAGGTTGTTAACAATTACAGCTTGCTTCGATACACAATCAACACTCTTACACCAGCAGTCAGGAAGTCAAAAGACAAATTACTTTGGGAAAATCTGCTGTCATGGGCCTCTCCAGAGTGCTGAAGAGCAACGATATCATCCTGCAAACAAAGGTGTGCCTAATCCAGGCCATGGTCTTCTCTATTACTTGTTATGCTTCAGAGAGTTGGACAATGACTAAGGATGACAGAAGAATAATCAATGTCTTCAAATTGTGGTGCTGGATAAGAGTCTTGAACATACCATGGACTGCCAAGAAAACAAATAGGTCTGTCTTGGAGAAGGTGATACAAAGTCTCTTTTTGGAGGCTCTGCCTCACTTACTTTGGCACAGGGCCAGGAGAAATTGGTCATTGGAGAAGGACATCATGATTGGAATGATGAAGGGAACAGCACAGGAGAGGGAGACCCAAATGAGATGGATTGATACAGTAACTGGGGCGATAGGGGTTGGGGTTAGTGTGTCGGAGTTAGTAAGACTTGCTCAGGACAGGGAAGGGTTCAGAGCTGCTATACATAGGGCTGCTGTACATTGCAAACAACTCCATGGCATAAAAAAACAGTAACATACTATGGAAGGTTTGGAAGCAGGAGTGGCATCCACTTCCTAAATAACATCTCTCCAGAAACCCTATGAACTTCGATAAATGTCAGTTGTTGTAGAGGGGCTTCAGGCCTTTTGTTCATGGGGTCACTGTGAGTCATGCTTGACTCAAAGGCAATCAACAACAACAACCATAACGAAAGAAAAAAACTAAAATAGACATAAGAGGAGAATGGAAATTGCTCTTGAGGATACATTGCTTAAAGTGAACGGAAGAAATGATGATGTAAAATAGAATTTCTAAGGCAGAGTAAAGTAGCAAATAAAACGTACGAAGACTTGGAACTTTTAGAGCCTTGTTTAAAATAAAATACAGGTAATACTGCAAGTTGGCACTGGCTTTTGTTTTTTTGAAGGACCATTTACTTGGGTCTATATGAACTGTCTTTTGACTCAGCAATTTTACCACTATGGAAACATTGTATTGATCGGTAAATTTTATAGTTACTGTGAAGCATCCTCTTGTAATTGAGAAATACCTAAATATCTGCGAACAAATAGGTGACCGTAGTGTCAGGTTCGCTAAATGAATTTCTTAACTAAATGTCTTAACTAATGTTGTTATAAATGCACTTACCACAAATGGGGTGACTTTAACAAATAGAAATTTATTTTCTCAACGTTTTGGAGTCTACAAGCTCACATCAAGGTGCCAGCTCTAGGGCAAGACTCCCTTGCACTCTGGGGACAGATGCTATCACCTTTCAACATCTGTAGGTTCTCAGCACAGGGACCCTGGGTCAAAAGACTGTAACACGCCTGTCTCTTCTTTCTGGGTAATTCTAAGATTTTCCTCCTCTGCTTCCTTTTCTTTCCTTTTGTCTTTTGCAAGATAAAAGGTGAGACTCAAGCAAGAATGTACTTACTTCAGCCTATTGCTAAGGCTTTGACTCTGAATATACATACAACCTACCTCCTTAATATGTACATGTTGGAATTTCGAATACATTGTAAAAGGAACAAATGCTCCATGGAGGCCTCTGAGTCTGACTTATGTATGCTTTAAAAACTGTTGTCATCAATAATATCCATACTGTTAAACAAACAGCTGCATGGTCAAACATACCACCCCAACATGCTCCTGCATCTGTTTCTATGAAATCACTGGGTCCACTATTCATTGCAACTTGACTCAGAAACTTTACTCACACTTGTGGAGTTTATAGGGAAATAGATTATAGAGTGGGGGAAGCAAAGAATATGACACAATGCAAGTCCAGTTTAGTTCAGCAGTTCTAAGCCAGAATAACAAAGCACAAGTCCTCAATTAGTTAAAGTCCAGATCCAGTTTAGTAACACAGTGCAACAAAGATCTAGTTTCTTTAGTCACCCAAGAAACTATCTCAGTTACAAGTCAGCGTTTCGGTCATTCATCCAAGAGTAAAACCTTTAGCTGTGGCTCTATCTCCAGAGTTCCTCTGGTATATATACCTTGCCACAGCCTCTTCACAGCAGTACCCTAGTCCCTTTACCCTCTCCCTAACACTGTTTCTCACAGTGTGGAAAACGTTCTCTTATAGTGGTCCCACAAGGTTGATGATTTGCAAGACCATATATATACCTGCAGTTAAGGTCCATGGATGGAGACCATGCACCCAGTGGGACTAACAGAATGGATAGAAAAGTCACATTTTCAAACGCCACAACACATAAAATGAAGAATAATTGCATTAGATCACTAAATGGAGGATAGCCGCACAGTATTGGGAATTGTGGTCTAACCAAATTGACACACATTTTCAGGGACACAATTGAATCATGGCTGAATATAATATAGGCAGAGGAGAAATAAAGTAGGTGTATACAATAGCAGAAAGATAAGCAAGGTAGAAGAAATAATATTGTGCAATATTAAGTATAGTCTCATATTTTACCACAGTTTTAATATATTTTATTCCTATTTACTGAGTATATTTGTTGTTTTGTTGTTGTTATGTGCCATTGAGTTGAGCATGACTCATAGCAACCCTATGAACAAAAGATTTGAACCTTGTCCTGCACCATCTTCAATATATTTACAAAACTGTGTAGAGGAAAATAACCACCGTGGAAACATGTACCAAGTCAACAGTAGTGAAAACCATGATGAGTTCTGTGCTAATGGATATGCCCTTTGAATTCCAGATAGGAGGGAGTCATTTCTGTTACTGAGCCTTGTTTGTTTCTAGTAGTTTTGCATGAAGAAAAATGAAAACGTGTATTGAGGATAGAGAACAAATACTTGGTTCAGACACGTTTACCAAGATTATTGTCTTAAGATATCTTATTAAAGCTTGTGTGACCCTCACACTTAATCCTACCTGGCTGCTTGCATTTCTTCTTGATGTTCTCCTTTGGAAAATGAACCGTTCACTACTCCTTCAACATTCTCATCGGTAAACCCAAATTTACATAAGACTCTTTCTAGTTCTTTTTTACATTAAATTATTTTGACTTAGTCTCATAGTTACTATTTAATTATGTTAATTTTACTTTCTTTGGCACCCTTTGTTGTTGTTTTAACAGAGGCTGTTGGTGTGACCAGTCAACGACCAGTGTTTTGTCCTTTTCATAAAAAGGAACAGCTGAAGCTTTACTGTGAGACTTGTGACAAACTGACCTGTCGGGATTGCCAGTTACTAGAACATAAAGAGCATAGGTATGAGTGTCTTTTGCTCCTTTTGCAGATTTGTTGCAGCTTTATGAGGGCCGGGGGACTAGTCCAGGTGACAGTGGCAATCTGCAGTCACAAGGGTTTGGTCTGCAGTGTGCCGACCGCCACTCAATCTTTTCAACTTGATGTTACTGATCTTATAAGCCAGATGGTTCTTTATTTTAAGAGGTTGTCTTGTCATTACAGTTGTTTAGCAGAATTCTTGACCTCTCCATCCTAGATGTTAGTAGTATATCTCTAATTTTGTAAAAAAATTATGTCAAAAATGTCCCCAAATATTTTTTTAAATAGCATTCAGTTTATTACAAATATTTAGTATTGGGGTTCCCATATTCCCCCCCTTTTTTTAATCATAATTATGTTATCATCTAGATGAGCATCCTTTATACACAAACAAAACAAATTAAACATAATAAACTCAAAGAAATACTTTCGTAAATCTCCGTATGATCAGAAGGATTCAGGTTGAATATTCCTTGAAAGTCTGTTTTCATTGTCCCGTTGCCACAGTGCTTGTCAAACCAGTTCTGTTTGTCCATGTGTCCTTTGCTATTCCCTATCACTCCTCCCTGAGAGAGATTTCACCCTGAGTCAAAAATGTCCTCAAACATTACATCTATTCAGAGAACAGATTTTAGCTCTGGACACAGACTGACCACATTTTCATCTACATGGAATGTATATCCTGTGTTTTAAGATAGAGATTTCACATTTTAAAAACCTGGATTTCTCTCTTTTTTTCCTTTTTTTCAGAAAATGGAATCTTCTATAGCCTTGGTTCATACACTTTCATGTTAGCATTTGACTTCAGTTGACTTGAATGAGCTTTAGGAGGGATGAATTTTTCAGCTTATAAAAATACATGTAATTAAAATAAATGAGAGAATTGGAATAATTAAAAAGTAACAGTCTAAACATAGGGCAAAAAAATGTAAGGAAAAGAAACAATATAAGTATTGATTGATCGGTGGGCAGTTTATATTAATAATTATAATTTAGATGGGAAAATGTTCCAAATTAATAGATTTCAGGCTAGATTAAAAACCAGATAATAGGATATTTTCTTTTTGTGAAAGAAAAAGGTTTATTGGGAGAAATGTGCTTTATAAAAATTAACCAAAGAGAAGCTTGTCAAGCCAATACAAGAGACTTATAAGGCAAATGCATTAAGGATAAAAAGGTTCTGTTCTAAGACAGGACAGTTCAATAGGTGTATACACCATAACCTCAAAAGGATTTGGTGGAGTCCCTAACATGTTGGGCTGTTAGCTAAAAAGTCTGTCGTTGGCTCCACCAGCCGCTCCTTACAAGGACAGTGGCAGCTCCTCTCAGACTGACAGCCTTAAAGACTCCGTGTCGGCTTACTGTGTCTGTGTCCACTCGACGGCAGTGGGTTAGCTTTAAAAGAAATTAAAAATCCATAAATTGAAAATCTGCAGTCAGGCCGAGAATGTTAACATAGTTATAATTACCAAGCTTCATTAGTAGGGTGAGAATACAGTAAAGCTGATTGAACTGATTCTAGCTTATGAAACACTGTAGCCTGTATTATACATTTTTTTCAAACATGCATAACTTTTTTCCCTGTTTCATTGTTTCACAAGAGAGCTCTGGTGGCCTAGTGGGTAAGGATTTGCTCTGTCAGCCAGTTCAAAGGCATGTGGTTCGATTCCACCAGCTAGCCGCGCTCTTCTGGGGAAAGATGGGCAGTCTCCTCCTGTGCTGTTTACAACCTCAGAAACCCTGCCTTAGGGTCAGCTCTGAGTTACTTTAGACTAGATGGCACATAACAAACAGCATCATACCACAGTGCACAAGAATAAATTTCAAAGGGTTCAAATGATACAGAACATCTGTGTGGCCACAGTACAATTACTATGAAAATAAAAATATCTCTGTATGTTTGGCAATAAAGGAGATCAATTCATATGAGCACTCAGTACAACCCACAATCCCACTAGATCTTAAACTGCAAAGAAGGAAAAAGAATAGTAGATTTTACTGAAATAAATGATGCATTGTTACCTTAGAGACTTTATAAAAAATAAAAATGTCTTATCAATAACTTGAAAATGTTTTCATGAAACAGGAACATTTTTAGCTTACTTAAACACAAGACAAATCGAACCTGCAAATAATCATTTTAATTACGTTAATTAAAATTTTCAAATGCGTGAGAACCCCCCCCCATTGACTTCCTGATAATTTATCGAATAGTTACGTTAAAATTAAGATTATTTCCTGCTCAGACTTGTTCAGAGAATGGAGTCGGGGAATTTATTCTCATCACCTGTGTTTTGAAACCAGCATAAGCTGGATACCAGAAACTAAAGTGGAAAAAACATTGTGAAAATGGAAAATTACATGCTAGTCTCCCTCATAAAACAAAGGTAAAACTTTAAAAAAATAGTAAATTAGAAAACAAAACTGGCAATATATCTTTATTCTTGGACAATGTAATTTCAACTAACTTCTCTTTAAACACAAAGGTGAATCTGACTCAAAACCATGACATTTTCTTCTGCTTTACATGCACGTGAAAGTCAGATAATGAATAAGGAAGTCTGAAGAGCATTTGAATTTTGGTATTGGTGAAGAATATTTGAATATCCCTTAAATTGTCAAAAGAACAAAGCAAGCTTTCTTGGAAGACATACATCCAGAATGCTCTTTAGGAGCAAGGATGATGAAACTTCATTGCACATACTTTGGCCATGCTGTTAGGAGGGGTCAGTCCTTGGGGAAGAACAGTACAGAAAGATGATGAAAGAGAAGATGACCAATACAATATAATTACATGTTGTTTCTTAAAAGATAATCTACAAGTTTACTTATAGCATCAAACTTTCAAAATCCTAAAATTATTAAATAGTTCGTATTTGATACTGTTGCCATCAAGTTGATTCCAGGTTATAGTGGCCGTACAGGACAAATTCAGACTAGCCCACAGAGTGTCCAGGGGTGTAATCTGCATGGAACTAGACCAGTACATCTTTCTTTGGAAATGGCGTGGGATTCCAGTGCCCAACCTTGGCTAGCAGCTGAATGCTTAACTGCTGTGCCACTCTAGTACCTTTTAGTTATTAAATAGCTACTAAATCTCTCTATATCTTTTGCTATTTTTTGCCAGGTCATCGAAGTGAATAGGCTCAACATTGAAAATTCTGAATGATGGATGTGTCCATAAATAGCATGATCTGAAAGATGAAACATTTTCATATTTTGGAGAGGAGGGAGAACCTACTTTAGGATTTGTGTTTTAGAAGATTATTATTTATATTGTTACAATCATTATTTTAAGTGTTTTATACTATTTGTTCATTACTTTAGCTTTTTCTTAATTTTTCTCAGGTACATTTGTGTGAAGTTAATTTATTTGTTTATTTCTTCAGATACCAATTTATAGAAGAGGCTTTTCAGAGCCAGAAAGTAATCATAGATACCTTAATCACCAAACTAATGGAAAAAACAAAATACATTAAATTCACAGGAAATCAGATCCAAAACAGGTAAATTTCTGTTTATGTTATTGTAATGAATCGTTTTTCTAGAATGTGGTAAGTGTCTTCATTGTCAGGACAGTATGTCTCCCTTTACTCAGTTACGTAGTTACACAAACTTCAGGAAGGTCTAATAAAGCTGATTAGGCACTTCCAAAAACAATGTTTTTGAAATCTTTGATTTAGGAAAAATTATTTTCCACTATGAAATATTGAAAATCAATATCTGCATTTAATGACAGCTTTATCTGGTAGTTATTTCTGTTTAGAATTGTCAAGTGTTTTATCAATTTTAAAGAAATTCCAGAATTTTAACCAGTGTTGTAAAATATTTTAACACTCAGTACTTAATTACTATTTTAATATTTGCTAAAATTTGAGGTGCTACCCATTTTCTGGCCTGTGATTTGATTTTTTTTTTTTAATATGGTTGTTTTTAAAAAAAAAAAAAGACAATGGATTAGAAATTTTAGAATATATTGAGACAAAAGACTTTTGGCCTCTAGTCTGGGGCTATTTGCAGGATGGGAAGATGGGTGGAATGGCTGGATTCTGCAAAGGTGTGCTTTCTGGTTTGAGGTTGAGACTAGGGTGTGGCTGTTGATCACAACAGGGTGTAAACTGTTTGGATTTGACCTTGTATTTAAAAAGGCTTTTGGTTTTTGTGGATCTCCCAAATGAGAAGAAAAGCTTGCCTCTGGAAACTCTTCCTATGAACTTGGAGAAAAGATGAAAGGTTTGTGTTCAAGGCACAAAGCTCATAGGATCAAACAACTTTGTGGCACTTAACCAAAACAATAACTCTGTTATTAGAGGAACTGACTCATAGCTGACCCTTCTGCAGGTTTCCACAGGCAGTAAGTTACATGGGAAGAGATTGCCTATCCTGTACCCTTGGAGCAGCTGATGGATTCGACCGCATGCCTTTGGAATTGCAGCGCAGATTCTTAACAGTGGGCCACCAGAGCTCCCTGCTCTGACACTGAGTCAGTTACTGACAGCTAGTAGAGCCCCAGCATGTTAGGCTTAGTTGCTACTCCTAGCAACCGTGTAAACAACAACCTGGATCATCCTGTTTCCTTCATAATCTTCATCATGTCTGTTACACTTTAGCCCATTCAGAAAGTGACTCTGTCAATCCATCCTGTTGATTGGCTTCTTTTCTTTCACTTAATCCTCTACCTTTTCAAGCATGATATCTTTTTCCAAAGACTGACCTCTCTTAACGCCATGCCCAAAGGATATGAAATGAAGTTTCACTTACCTTTGCACCAAACAAGTACTCTGGTTGCACTTTCTCTAAGACAAAGAACATGCTTTTTCTTTAGGCATTTTGTGGGATATTCAGTACTTTTCTCCAACAACATAACTCAAGGGCATCAATTCTTTTGTCATCCTTACTCATTTTCTAGCTTTCAGATGCATAACAAGTAATTGAAAAGACCATGGCTTAGATCAGATACACTTTATCTACTTTGCTTGGTCAGCAGAACATGTTCATTATGAACTGTTGTTATGTACTCTGGATTCAAGGATCCCTGTGAACAACAGATCTGAAGCCTGTTCTATCCTGTGTCTTCCTTATCATTTCTGACACACTTGAGCTCAGTTGCAGCAGTCACTGTGTCAATTCACTTGAACGGGTCTTCTCTTTTGCTGATCATCCACCTTCCCAAACTTGATGTCCTTTTGCCCCTTAAAGGAACATGTCCAAAGTGCTTCAGATAAAGCTTTGACATTGTGCCTCCAAGGAGCACTATAGCTGCCCCCTCTCACGTCTGTGTGGTCTTTTGGCAGTTGATGGTATTTTTAGCACTCTCTCCAACATCAGAGCTTAAAGGCATCAATTCGTCTGTCATCCTTATTCATTTCCAGCGCTCGGAAGCATAGCGAATGATTTAAAAGACCATGGCCTGAATCAGGCACACGTTAGTTTTCGAACTCCTAAAATTATTCCCCAGTAATTTAGAAAGCATAAACACAATCAAATATTCTGGAATTCCCGTTCCTCCGAGTCAGCCAGTTTGTTGTGATCCACATAGTCAAACGCCTTTGATAGTCAATAAAACACAAATAGACATTCCTCTGCTATTCTCTGCTTTCAGCCAAGATCCATCTAACATTAGCTATATTATCTCTAGTACCACGGCCTCTTCTAAACCCAGCCTGCACATCAGGGAGTTCTCTGCTGATGTGTTGCTCCAGTCGCTTTGGGAAAATTTTCAACAGAATCTTGCTTGCATGTGATATTAATGATATTGTTTGATAATTTCCGTACTTTGTTGGGTCACCTTTCTTTAGAATGGGAACAAATACAGATCTCTGCCAGTCAGTTGGCCAGGCGGTTGTCCTTCAGATTTCTTGGCACAACTTGGTGAGCACATTCAGGGCAGCATCTTAATGTTGAAATATGCTGTCAGTTTCTGGAGCCTTGTTTTTTTGCCAGTTCTTTCAGAGCCACTTGAACTTTTTCCTTCATCACCCAGGCTCTTGCTTATAGATTGTTTCATGGAATTCTTCTGTGTCAGCCAATTCTCTGTGTACTCCTTCCATCTTCTTTTAATGCTTCTTGCATCATTTAATATTCTTCCCAAAGCATCTTTAAATATTGCCACTTGTGGCTTGAATTTGTTTTTCAATTCCTTCAGCTTAAGAAATGCTGAGCGAGTTCAGCTCTTTTTATTTTCTGACTCTTTGCATACATATGTCATTATAGTACTTTGCTTTTTCTTCCCAAGCTGTCCTTTGAAATCTTCTGTTCACCTCCTTAATGTCTTGATTTCTTCCTTTAGCTTTGGCTTCTCGGCACTCTTATAAAATATTCTGAGTCTTATCTGACATGCATCTTGGTCTTTTCTTCCTATTCTGCCTTTGTAATAACCTTTTACATTCTTCATGGATGATGTTCTTGATATCGTCCCACAGCTCATTTGGTCTTCGCTCATTGATGTTCAAGGCCTCAGACCTTTTCCTGAGATGGTTTTGAAGTTTGATATGTTCTTGAACTTGAACCAGGAAGCAGTCATCAGATCAGGGAGACGCTGCACAGTTCAAAATCAAGAAAGGTGTGCACCTAGGGATGTATTCTATCTCCGTACCTTTTCAATCTATATGCAGAACAGATCAACCAGGAGCCTGGGCTGTATGAGAAGGAATGTGGCATCAGGATTGGAGGAAGATTCAGCAACAGCCTACATTATAGAGACAACATGAAGCACTTGCTGCAGAAGGCCAAGGACTGCAGGCTTCAGTATGATTGAAGCTCAACATCAAGAAAACAAAGATTCTCACCACTGGGCCAATTGGCAGCATCATGATAGATGGTGAAGAGTTTGAGATTGTTAAAATCCATTTGCTTGGCTCCACAGTCAACACTCTTGGTACCAGCAACCAGGAAATCAAGATTGCCTGGGGAAAGTCGCCTATTGGGGACCTCTCCAGAGTACTGAAAAGTAATGACGTCAGTCTGGAAACTAAGATGCACCTGATCCAGGCCGTAGTCTTCGCAGTTGCTTGCTATGCATCAGAGAGCTGGACTAGGGGATGATAGAAAGGGAATTGATGCCTTTGAGCTATGGTGCTGGGGAAGACTGTTGAATATACATACCATGTACTGCCAAGAGAACAAACAGGTTCATCCTAGAGAAGGTGAAACCAGGCTGCTCCTTGGAGGCAAGGATTCTGAAGCTTTGTCTGACATACTTTGGACATGTTACAAGGAGGAACCGGTCCTTAAAAAGAAACATGCTTCGGGTGGTGGAGTGACGGTACAGGAGAGGAAGATGAGATGGTTTGATTCAGTCACTGGGGCAATGGGGGTAGGTGTGTCAGAGACAATAAGGTTGCACAGGATAGAACAGGGTTTAGGGCTCTTGTACATGGGGTCACTGTGAGTTAGCAACCCGACGCACATAGAAAGGTCCCTCACTGCACATTTGTCCAGTGTAATATATCTGCTGATCTTCTGGTTGCTTGTACCAAGGGTGTTGATTGAGGATCAAAGTAAGATGAAATGGTTAAAATTTCAGTCTTTCTCCAACTGTCATGATGTTACCTGTCTATCCACTGGTGAGGATTTTGTTTTCTTGACATTAACATGTAATCCATATTGAAGGCTGTATGTAGTCTTTGATCTTCTGCAGCAGTCACTTCCAACTTCTCACTTTGAGCAAGGAAGATCATGTCATCTGCATGACACCAATTGTTCATGAGTCTTCCTCCAAAGCTGATGCCACATTCTCCTCAACATCAAGAAGACGTTGAGTCGCAGCATAAACAACTCATATTACCACAATCTGCCTAAATGTTCAATCTTTGCTTCTTTCATTTGCTTTTAGAATTATTGAAGTCAATCAGAATCAAAAGCAGGTGGAACAGGATATCAAGGTTGCTATATTTACACTGATGGTAGAAATAAACAAAAAAGGAAAAGCGCTCCTGCACCAGCTGGAGGTGAGTTGTACAGTAGCCTGTTGTGGTGGTTCATACGTTACTGTCTCAAGCATTTGTTAATTTGATATCAGTCAATGAAATGTTAATCTTCTTGTAACCTTGAAGTCTGTACATTTTCTGTACACACACTATTCTTAATTTTCTTCACATGATTTGGTTTGATTGTGGGTTTTTAATGGAAGAGTAGAGTTTATGGAACTAGCTCTGGGGTGTTTGGTCTTTGTTACCATTTTTCCCTCTGACTCAGTTTGTCTGGGCTAGGGGCTTAGCTTATTTCTTTTTAAATAGAATCTGTAATGTCCTGTAGTATATTACTTCTTCATTTTTCTAAGTTGTCTGAGCTCATCAAGAGCTTTCTTCTCTCTGATGGGGGCAGGGGGAGTGGAGTCTGTCCTCACAGAAACAATTTCCTTGGCATGGTGGTGAGTTTAAGGGTTTTAAATAAGACAAGTCTCTTGGTCAGGTTAAATTCTGTATTTGCTGTTAAATTGTTTTTCTGGTAATACTCTCACACACCTGTTGATTTTCAAGATAATTCACAATAAGCAGGATAATGCAGAGATAAGAGGATGTTTTTCTTGTTCCTTACAAAGGTAGTGACGTTTTCTCTACCCTAGGGCAGAACACTAGGCACAAATTGCTACCATAGGGAATAAATGGGGGAAATCCCACTACTTTCCATTTGATTGAGATCTTACAGCTTCTGTCATATTCCTGAGGCCGTGCAGTTGTATTCAAAACTCTGACCTTTGAGATGGCTACCTAACTGAAACACTAAGCCATAAGGTCACCTTACAGTGAAGATTGCATGACTTTGAGTACCTTTGAGTTGGAACAAAGTTATAAACCCTTCAGTGGGTTTTCAGAGACAGTAAATTCACACAGGAGGAGATTGCGCGTCTTTCTCCTAAGAAGCAGCTAGTGGATTCAAACCTACATACTCTGGGTTGGCAGTACAATTCCTTTGCCATTAAGCCCCCAGAACTCCCATAACAGTGGGAATCAGAATGCCTAAAAGTGGAAAATCCTACGACTAAGTCAGTGTTCTGATAACTTTACTGTATAATGGCTTACCCAGTTCAATGGTGAGATTGTTAAAACTAATCCATACTTTCGATGCGTGTTGGGAATAGCAGTAGAAACCTAAACTCCAGAACTTGTCAGATCAGACACAGCCTGGAACTAAGGGTGGTTGGTACTGTCTTCTCTGCTATGACCGTGGCCTTTTGTGTGAACATTTGGGGAGGGTAGTGGGGAGCCCACTAAGAGTTCTCCTACTTAGAGATGTAGCCATCCTAATTTCGTAATCCAAAAATGTGTGTTATATATGAAAACTAATCTTGAGAATTGTCTTGATTTCAGAGTCTTGCAAAAGACCATCGCATGAAACTCATGCAGCAGCAGCAGGAAGTGAGTGGACTTTCTAAACAGCTGGAGCATGTCATGCATTTCTCCAAGTGGGCTGTCTCCAGCGGAAGCAGCACTGCATTGCTTTACAGCAAGCGCCTGATTACATACCGGTTACGGCACCTCCTTCGAGCCAGGTGTGATGTGTCCCCAGCCACCAACAACACCATCCAATTTCACTGTGATCCTAGCTTCTGGGCTCAAAATATTATCAATTTAGGTTCTTTAGTAATCGAGGATAAGGAGAGCCAGCCACAAATCCCTAAGCAGAATCCTGTGGTGGAGCCGAATCCACAGCCACCAGGTGGCTTAT